GTCAGGAGGGACCAATTGCTGGAGAAGAATATCATGTTTGGTAAGGTGGAGGGATATCCACCCCCAGCAAGACGGATTGGCAAAGTGGCAGCATTAATGGGCTCAAGCATGGCAATAATTGTGAGGTTGGCCCAGGACCGGGCAGTGTTTCGTTCTGTTGTGCATAGGGTCGCTATGAATCGGTACCGACTCGATGGCACCTAACAACAACAACAATCTGACCTTTATGTGGTGTTCAAGCCTAACCTCTTTCACATATAGGCTTTTCTTTTTTTTAATCATCTCACTATCTTTCACTTTATGGCAGCTCTTATTTCTTTATCCTCCATTCTTCTCAATGTCCTACTTAGACTGTGTTAAAAATCTGTACTCTACTTTTATATTGAGTCTGTTTATAACAGAATGGAGCTAAAACGTGTCTTTCTTAACCCTTGACATTTCATTGTTATTTCTAATTACTGGTCATCAGAATTTTTTTTTAAACTTTTTTTCTTTGTAGATATAGAGTGATTTGGCACGGATATCTGTCACTTCACTGGTTCCAGGACAAAGTTAGGAGATTTGGTTGTTCATTTCGTGCCTCCAGCTACATGATCAGTCCTCACCCAGCCATCACTCATGCACCACTGGGGACAACCACTTCCCAAGACTGAGCAAAACTAGCTCTCAGTTAAGAAACTATGGCTAGCTGTATATCCCGACTTCCTTCTTCTAAGACTTGTTACTTTTTACGAGTAGTCCTTAGATTTCTTGCTTTCCTCCTTTCACAACACTACAGCTATGGAGTAACTGCTTATCTACAAATGCTGTCACCATGCTTCTTTATTCTTTCTAGAAAGCAATAGGACTTTAGTTCACAATCTTTGATTTTTTCCCTTTCCATTCATACTCCATCTCTAATCTTTCCTGTGCTAGTTTGACTCAATTTCCATCACTTGATTTCACTTTCACTCAAAAACTACACCTTCCCCACAGGTCTTCTACTTCCTTCTACTTGTTTAACATCTTAGTTTTCAGTTACTCAATACCTAAACTAACTCTTTTATCTTTCTAGCTGCAATTCATGTGCCCTCCTCTTTGTGTAGCTTATTTATGTATCTTGCTATGAGATCTAACATCTTCTCAAGATCCAACTATTTAACAAAACAAAAGCAGTATCTTTATCTATGTTTGCATTCCCTGAAGCTGTTATAAAAATTATGCTCATTTATATAATTAGACAGTGACATCAAGTGTAGAGAAAAGCAAGAAGAGTCCTAAGACCAGCCTTTGAAATTAAAGCTTCTCAAAATCTGACTATATATTTAGTGATGCTTATTCAATCAACTGATAAGGTGTACTTGAAAACAGAAGGGAGAGGGTGTTGGTGAGAGGACACTCTACAAAATTTGGACTTTATTCTGTAAAAATGAGAGCGCTATTAGAGATAAAATCAAATTGACAGAAACAAATCTGTATTAGAAGATGCAAATCTCAAGTTGTACTTCTTGTTAGTGGAAATAATGAAATAACACTTTTCAAGTACCTCTTTCAATAAAGTATTATAAAACTGAAGTGGTTCCAGCAAAACAATTAAAAATTTAGCCTCAAATCTGTTCATAGTTAGGTGAAAACCAATGAAAGTTTGTGTGGTGCTGTAGGATAAGCAATGGACTGCCAACCACAAGGTAGGTGGTTCAAACCCACTCCTTGGAAATCCTATACAGGGTCGCCATGAGTCAGAACCGATCCAACAATACTTAAGAATAACAACATATTATGGCTACAATTTTTTGGAGGCTAGAAGTCACCTGCAAAAGTTGTTCTGATTAGAACATAATTTATCCCGTAGTTTACACTCTGCCTTCTACCCAGTAACTTCTCCTGCTCTGTCCTTTGGAATTTTCATTTGTCCCCATGGCTTACCTATTCCTCAGGCTCTGATAAGGGGCTGTCTCCTCCCTCCTGGCCCAGCAGTTTTTGGAGTTAAATATTGTTTTCTCATGGATTATTTCCTAGCATAAGGAGCCCTAGTAGCGAAGTGGATTAAGAGCTGTGCTGCTAACCACAAGGTTAGTAGTTCGAAACTACCAGCCACTCTGCAAGAGAAAGATGAGGTTTTCTGCTCCCATAAAGATTGACAGCCTTGAAAACCCAATCCAGGGTCGTTGTGAGTTAGAACTGACTCTGTGGCATACCATCACCGCCACCATCTCCTAGATATCCCTGAAAGCATGATCAGACATTGTGGGGACTTACCTTTCTCTGAGAAGACAAGTTCTGAACGAATGAAGAAACCAGAATTTTAAAATATGGTAATGAGCAACTGCCACAAACTATGATTGTTACAATTAATCTCTCTCTCTCTCCCCATCTATCTGTATAAAATGATATAAAATGTGACACCTGGTGCGCCAGAATGTAGATATTATGTCCAACATCTTTTGGGGAAACACCATCATCTCCACTGTCATCATCACCATGATCACATTCTAATCCCTGATTATAGGCATTCTTCATCACATCCACCTAGCCAAAAAAAAAAACAATAAAAAAGAGACCTGATATGACCACAAAACAAGACGTATCTTACATTGTTGACGGGACATAAATAAAAATAGGAAAGCTTCTTCATATAAAAGGATTTTAAATGAAAATGACATTCGAAACCAACTTGATTAAAAAACATTTCTTTCAACAAAGAAATATTTTCCTACTATTCCCTATTTTCCTTTGGAATATTTGCTTTGATTTTTTAATGGTGACACGGCTGAAGATCCCCAGTATACAAACTAGGGGATTTGGAAGCCTCATGAGAATCCATTTTTTACTAAGCACCTACTAGGCAATGGAGTCCTAGTGGGGCACTGAAGGATAAGCACTGGACTCAAGGTCGTTTGAACTGCAAGGTCAGGAGTTCATACTCAGCAGCCACTCCTTGGAAACACTTTAATAGGATCACTATGAGTCAGAACTAGCTCTATGGCACTAAACAACAGCAGTAGTTAATAGCAGATATTGTAGTAGACGATGTACTGGACACATAGGATCTGACAGTGAATATGACACAGTATCAGCCCTCAAGAAACTTACTGCCCAGGAAGAGAGGAAGCAAGTAAGGAGGCAAATACAGCATATATGGTCACTCTTAGTTGTAGTGTGGCACTGTGGGTTAATGCATTGGAATGCAAAGTCAGTTTGAATCGCAAGGTCAGGGGTTCAAGCTCACTAGCTGTCCCTCGGAAACTCTATACAGGGTCTTTATGGGTCAGAACCAACCTGACGGCACTTAACAAAAACAACAGTAGTGCTGTGTGTAAGCTAGCAAAGCAGCTCAGAACAGGGTGCCCAAACTTAGGCAAAAGGTTGAGGGTAGGCCTGGAGGAAAAAGTAAATAGTCAGGCAAAGGTGTTGTGGTTGGTTGGTTATGTGCCATGGAGTCGGTTCTGACTCATAGGTTTCCGAGGCTGTAAATCTTTATGGGAGCAGAAAGCCTCATTTTTCTCCCACGGAACAGCTGGTAGTTTTGAACTACTGATCCTGTGGTTCACAGCCCAACTCGTAACCACTACGCTACCAGAGCTCCTTTAAGGTGTTGTAGGAGGAGGCCTAACATTCTCAAATGACAATTGTGAAGTGCTAATGACTCACCAGTGTTGACTAAATACATAACTCCTTGCCCCATTTGACCATAAGAATAGGGAGCACCTTCTTCCTATTAACCTGCTGCTTTGTAGATAGTCAGGTCTCATTAAATACATGGTAAACTGAAGCACTTTTTATCTACTCCCTTCTCTATCCTCCTCAAATCCATTCTCCAACATTAAGGAGACTGCAATGCATGTGGTGCCAGACTTTTATGTTTTCTCCAGCACATCCACACCATGGGCACTAACGTGAGCGGGACTTGGACTAATGGGTTAGATAGTTTAAGGATGCTCTCAATGCCTTTAGAGTATGCCTACACTACTTAATAACTTGTCAGGATATGATTGAGGAAGAAGTCGTAACTTCACAATAGGATTTCTGTGGGATCTGTATCAAGTCTTAATAATTTCCCCTAGGTTAAGCATTACATCACATTCCTTTGAGAAGAACTAAGCAAAAATATGATTTCATTTTTATTTTCCAGAAAAAAGGGCATAAATACAGTTTTGAGGGTTGCAAATATTTTTGACACATCTCCATATATTCAAGTACCCCAATTAAGCTAAAGTAAATTTGTTTTTCTGACAAAAACCATTTGCAAATAGCTTGTGGGGTGTGGTTAATAGATGTGCTTGGAATGGATGAAACAAAAGAAGTCATAAGGACCCACATCAGATAGACCTTGGTCATCATGGAGCTTTTTGAATTCATTAGGGCGGGTCATGAGATGTCATTATACCTTGATAAAGGAAGGAAACTCAGTAGATACTTTTCCTGAAAAATCATGCTGTACACTTGCTCCTTTTATACTATACATTATTAACACAGCTTTCAAGAGCTTTCTTACCAGTTCTCTTGGCCTCATGTTAAAAAGAATTCTTTCTGCATTCTCGCTGTCATGTCTGCTCTCCATTATGGCCAGCAAAAGCTTTGAAGCGTTGTTCTAGAGACAGAGAATGAGCTCATGTAAAGTCCATTTCTTGGATTCACGATCCCCTGCTTTTGCTTTAATTGAGCTTACCAGAACCATCTCTGTTTTTTAATTAGCATTTAAACTGCTAATTCTTTCATCTTATTAACAATTTAAGATAGAATGTTTTAATTTATTGTCAACACAAAATAAAATGAATAAATTATTTGCAATAGATTACAAGGAATAATTTAAATATTGCTGAAAGTGTGCTTCAAACAAAAGTTGATTTTTTTTCCCTACATAATGCATTAAAAATGTAATCCAATTTTCCATCACTATTTCCTAAACAGGCATATTTATGATGATGTTTTAACACGACAGTACGATGAACAGCTATCAATGACATGTTACAACAAAATTTCATTATATAATTAAAAGACTTTAGCATAATTGGTTCTAACCTGAAACACTAATATATACTGGTGAATTAAAACTTTTAAATAAATTTGAGCAATGATAACTAGTAATAATTTACAAATTTCTGAATTCATGAGTTAAATTCACATCTTACTACTCTCTCTAGGTGGTGGTGGTAGTTGTTAGGTGCTATAGAGTGGGTGCTGACTCATAGTGACCCCATGCACAACAGAACGAAACATTGCTCAGTCCTGCACCATCCTCACAATTTTTGTTATGTTTGAGTCCATTGCTGCCGCTGCCATGTCAGTCCATCTCGTTGAGGGTCTTTCCTTTTTCACCGACCCTCCAATTTACCAAGAATGTTGTCCTTCTTCAGGGACTGGTCCCTCCTATTAGCTTGACCAAAGTATGAAAGATGAAGTTGCACCATTCTGATTTCTAAGAGCCATTCTGGATGTACTTCTTACAA